TCTCTCTCTCTCTCTCTGTGTGTGTGTGTGTGTGTGTGTGTGTGTGTGTGCCTGCATTCATTTTGCGCAAGGTACATGTTCCTAGTCTCCCGTTTTGTTGGAGCTTGATTCTGCTGTAGTGTTGGCTAGAAGCAATTGCCAGAATCAGTTGTCAACACTCTTGATTGTGTGAATGAGTATGTAATTGAGGAAGGTGCGGTGACAAGGTATATATAGGTGTGTGACACTTGCGCGTGCGAGCGCTCAGCTAGCCAGGAACAGAGGATGAATCGATCCGCCATAGGATATGCTGTCTCATCTGATCCGGTATTTCATAGCCACAGTGGCGATACAGAGAGAGAGAGCCACAGTAGCAACACTGTGCTGTACCCTCAATGCCCCTCAGCAGCACTGGACTCTCTCGAAATAGATGCTAGGAACACAGAGTGGGGTGCTCTTGAATTTTTATTCCTCTCGAGCAGTAGTTACTCGGACACTGTATCATGGCTGATCGGGGATAAGAGATGGGAACGGTGCTAGTTGGTTTCTCTCGTCATCGTCAATGCCACGGCATGTACATGTGCATTTCCCTGAGTGGATATTGAGGTGATGATTGTGAAGACACGCTCAGTGGCGCAGGGTCCAAGTTTCAGTCCTTCGTTCAACGCGCCCATGCTGCACATTCACAGTCAGCTTTCAGGAATGCAAGGGCGAGGTACGTGGAAGCATGTGATGATGTGGTAGAGAATTGAATACAGTGTGCTGTCTGGTGAAGAGAGAGGCCAATGGTCATTCACCGTGTGTTGTCATTGTGACCTGTTCGGGAGGATGCAACTTGGTGGAGAGCGAAGGTGACGATGGTCTGGCTTGTTGATTGGCCTGGACACCCCTGCAACAACCTTAAATACACTGCTTGATGCATGCTGACTGCACCAGCATGCATCCTCGAGGCCTGAGAAGGTATGATTTAGTGCGTCGTACACGTTTGACAAATAATTTACCGCAGTGGCATGTCCGTGTTGCTCCGCTAATTTGATGTTGTACTTTTTGTCATGAAAATTTATTTGAATAAAGTCAGATGTTGAATTGTCCCAAGTGAGTGTTTCTGAAAGGGAGTCCACAGGTTCTGTGAATAACCGTCTGTAGGGAATGAAGACGCGGTGTTGAGTTAATAGCAGTGTGGAGCGAAATGACAGCGTGCGGAGTAATGAAGGTGAGGAGTGCACTGATGTGTGGAGTAATGAAGGTGAGGAGTGCACTGATGTGTGGAGTAATGAAGGTGAGGAGTGCATTGCTGTGTGGGTCGGCGTGTGGTCTGTTGTGTGGTGTAGAGGCCTCGAGTGAGGTGTAGAGGTGTCAAGTGGGGTGTAGAGTGAGGTGTGCGGTGGAGGCGTGGAGAAAATGGAAGGTACACAGCAGTCACAGAATGAAGTGAATCTCCTTGCACTGCAAACAGCACTGTGGGGGGTGGAGTGAGGTGTGGAGTTCGGTATGGAGTGAGGTGTGGAGTTCGGTATGGAGTGAGGTGCGGAGTTCGGTATAGAGTGAGGTGTGGAGTGGGGTGTGGAGTGGGGTGTGGAGTGAGGTGTGGAGTGAGGTGTGGAGTGAGGTCTAGAGTGAGGTGTGGAGTGGGGTGTGGAGTGAGGTGTGGAGTAGGTGTGGAGTGAGGTGTGGAGGAAATGAAGACGCACAGCAGTCATAGAATGAATTGAATAGTCTTGCACTGCAAACAGCACTGCATTGTGAATGAAATGAAGAGTGATTGTTAAGTGAAACTTGATGTTGTTGAACCTGAAAGGCTAAAAGCAAATCGAGCTCAAAAGGCATAACAAAAGATATGCATGTTGGGATTCAGAACCCCTCTTCCACCAATGGTCTCATTAATGGACATTGATGCGGAAAGTTAACATCATAGATTGAAATTTCATTGTTAAGGGAGATTGGCATTCCATTCAGGAACTCTGAAAAATGAGTTCGAGTGTTTGAGACATGGATGCATTTTTTATGGAATGAAGATTTCTGAAGATTTCTGAACAGAACTGGAGTCCAGTTCTGTCCAGAAATCTTCAGAAATCTTCATTCCAAAATGAGTGTTTTTGAGTGTTTTTGAGTGTTGGAGTGTTGGAGTGTTGGAGTGTTTGAGTGTGTTTGGAGAGTGTTTGAGTGTGTTTGGAGAGTGTTT